GGCTATTACCAATAAATCAACAAACAAGTGTTGGTGAGGATATGGAGAAAAGGGAACCCTCGTACACTGTAGGTGGGATTGTAAATTGGTACAGCCACTATGCAAAATAGTTTGGAGGTTCCTTAAAAAATTAAAAATAGAAATAACTTTTGACCCAGCAGTCGCACTTCTGGGTATTTATCCAATCTGGGTATTAAACCAAAACACGAGTTCGTAAAGATCTATGCACCCCTATGTTCACAGCACTGCTATTCACAACAGCCAAGATATGGAAGCAACCTAAATGCTCATCAACAGACTGGATAAAGAAGTTATGGTTCATATATGCAATGGAATATTACTCAGCCATAAAAAAATGAAACACCATTTGCAATGACACGGATGGACCTACGGGGTATTATGCTGAGTGAAATAAGTCAGACAGAGAAAGATAAATATCATATGATTTCACTTATATGCGGAATCTAAGGAACAAAAGAAAGGAACAAACTAAACAAAAACAGATTCACAGATACAGAGAACAACCTGGTGACAGCCAGAGGGGTGGGGGGTTGGGGGGCTGGGTGAGAAAGGTGACGGGATGAAGAAGTGCAAATTAATAGTTACAAAAGAGTCACGGACGTAGGGTTCAGCACAGGGAATCGAGTCGATAACATCGCAATGGCCGTGTGTAGGGCCAGATGGGTGCTGGAGTAATCGGGTGGTGGTGGTGGGGGTGCTCCTTGAATTATATAAACGTCTACCCCTTGTACTGTACATCTGAAACTAATGTAAAGTTGAAAAAAAGAAAAAAGTGCACTATTCTCTATAGTGCACATTACAAAAGCTTTCTGAATGCGAATTAGACATTTTCAAAAAAAAAAAAAACAACAACAACAACAACAGATCAGGCAAGTGTAAAACCAAAGGAGAAACTTTGCCTTTTTACATATTCTTCTGAGTTCTTCACTCTGGGTGTGTAAGCCATGACCTGGAAAGCTTGCCTACTTGTCTTTGCTTTTCTATACCTAAGAATAACAGCTAGTTAGTCTTTTTAACGGGCATTCATCGACTGGTTGCTAGGTGCCAGGCCTTGTTCTGACTTAATCCTCACAATCACCTTTAGGTAAATTACTATTATCTCCCCCATTTTACTAATAAGAAACTGAGGCATTCAGAGGTGAGCCATTCCTCGAAACCACGGGGTTAGTTTTTAGGCAGAAGAGGAGTCACACCCACGTGTCTGGAGCCGCACTGTGGTGCCTCCCCGTGTGATGCTGCATCTCCAGAGATTAGGGAAAAAATGATCTGTTACCTGCATATTATTCTCCACTTTCTTTTCAGCTTCCCGGAAGTTTTTCCTAAACTCCAACTCCTCTTTTGGAGTCCTCGAGCACCACATACTCAAGTTACTTTTTACCTTCCAGGTTTTACAGTGGTATACATAACCAAATGTCAATATAGTCACCATATTGTACATAACAAATTCTTAGTTTAGAAGTTATATTACCTCTAATTTACCAGGTTGGTTTTTCTGGTAAGCTATTACAAGATGATAACGTAAGAATCAACTAAGAATCAAAAGAACACCAATACATGAATAAGAAGTTGGTTATCGTATAGAATTAAAATTGGTTCTGAAAATACAACTACTCAAATGCTCTATGTGAGCCACCTGTCAAGGTAAATGTGAAAATCTGAAAGTAAAAGCTTATGAAAATTACTTTTAAAGGAACCTTGGCATCCAGAATCAGGCTCCCTCTACTTTAATACGTTGAAGAAAGTAGAGACCAAATTCTTTAATATATCTAAAGAAATGGGGCAAAGTTAAGCTAAGAAACAACAACAAAACACTGACCATGCAGAAGTGCACTTACTACTGTAGTGGCTGGAATGATGACCCCCAAAAAGACAAGTCCATACGCTAAGCGCAGAACCTGTGAAATGTTCCCTCATTTGGAGAAAGGGTCTTTGCAAATTAAGGACTTTGAGTTGGGGAGGTCATCCTGGATTATCTGGGTGGGCCCTATACCCAATGACGAGTGTTCTTATAAAGGACAGAGGGAGAATGAAGACAGCCAGAAAAGGAGGCAATGGGACCGCAGACGGAGAGACTGGAATGACGAGGCCACAAACAAGGGAATGCTGACAGCCACCAGAAACTGGAAGAGACAAGGACAAGGTTCTCTTCTAGAGCCTCCAGACGGAGTGTAGCACCTTGCTTCCAATATTTAGCCTCCAGAACTGTGAGAGAATAAATTTCTGTTGTTTTAAGCCACTATATTTGAGGGGCTTTGCTATGGCGGCCACAGGAATGTAATATAACTACTTGAATCAGCACTGCTCCAAATAATAAAGAGGTGTGTGTTGATTTTCAGTGGATCTCACACTAAGAAAGACACACAAAACTTTTAAAATCCTTATTGCTATTCCAAAAGAATGAATGGTGAAGGTATCCAGTTGAGTTTCAGATTTTGGAGAACCTAAAAAGACAAATAAGTTATAAATAGTAATTTTAGCAATAGTGATTTAAATGTTTCCTGTCTCAAAAATGCATATGAAAATAGTGAAATAAAGAAAGAACAGATGTTTACTTAGAATCCAATGGAACATCTAAGTGCATGTGTTGAAAGCAGGTTTACCTGCCAAGCATAGATCATGAACTTCATGGACCTACTTGTCTTCAGCTTAAAAATTCTATTCATAAGAAAACACTCTGTCTCACAACTATGTTGAACCACTTTTTTTTAAAGTCTAGAACTTAAAGGCATTAAAATGCCATTTAAAAAACGAAATTTGAAAATACTCCTGCAATGTATATAATTTAATGGTTAACCTTCTTTCACTCAAAGACTTAAATTACTAAAACTTCTTCAAAAATGAGTCAACATTCTTTTATACAGAACAAACAGGAGGATCATCACTGGCCTTGCAAATGAGAGCTAATAAACAATTAAAGTAAAAAGAAAAATGTTTCCTGGCAAAACAAGAAAAACAAGCTAAAATTTTAATAGAAATTGCAATGACAATCACTGGTGAAAACTATTAAGTAAAAAATAAGAATGAGGAGAGACTGTGTCTGTTCTCGTAAAATCATTTTTCTTTGCGTTTATATTTGAAAGTGGCTATTTTTTCCTCTATTGATTTAATATTAAAGGAAACCATTAGAAATATTGGAAGGTAGCCTTGTCGACCTAGGAACTCCTGAATCTAAAAAAGACCCCGAAAAATACCCTGCTCTGCTACTAACTAGCAAATAACTCCTTGCCCCTAAATAATGCACGAAGAAGACACTCCTGGGTCAACATTTTTTATTAAATGTTCATAACCTGCTTTTGAAGGTAAGTGGGCAGTTCCAGGATTCCTAACTTCATCAAGGGATCCACATTTATAAAAGAATGTCTGATGGCCCTCAAGAATAATTCAAAATTTTATCTAATGTAGGTTCCATGATGAAGTTTGTTAGAAATCCTGGAACTGATTGCCCAATGATCACTAACAGATTAATTAAAAACCATGTTCTGAGAACTCAAAAATAAAATGGAGGTCTATACTGAACAGGGTATGGGGTAAGATACACAATTTCAGAAACAATGTGAAATTTTACGATCTTTTTTAAAATAAGAAACTTGCTAAATACAAAGTATTTCAAGTATACTGTACATTATATTGCACAGAACGTGTTATATTCGTTGAATAAAAAATATCCCAGCGCAAGTGGAATTATTTTTCTAAGAGGTAAACTGGCTTTGTCATACGTTTTGAGTCTGTATTCTAGGCCTGGACAGCTGTTATATGATGTGAAATTACTTAATCATGGTAAAACCATACATTTAGATAAATGTGAAGAGCAGGGGGGAAACAATTGGTCTGAATTAGTGAAAATTTTAAATGAGCCCATTTAAAAAGTCAATTATCAGGAAATCATTTTCTGGAAGAGCGATTTTTCCCTCCTAGTAAACACAGACATTGGTTTAAATGAAGACCCTGGCGTCTGGCAAGTCCCTTCCCCCAAACAACCTTTACCTGGGGCAAACTCAAGTCATCAGGAATCAACAGCAGTGCAAAGTCAGAATAGTAGCCGGTTGACAACAGGGCGAAAACGACTGCTCTAGCGGGGGGAAAAGGACAATGGCAAAAAGACAAAACAATGCCATTCCATTCCCTCCTGGCCACCCCGACCAAGGACAGGAAAAAAAGAGGACTAACTGAATACAAGAAATAATCAAGAATCAGCTCTTTTCCCAAATTGGGAAGAAAAAAGAAAATTCACAATTGTTATTTTTGCATATGACACGTAAAAAAAACTAAACGAAGAGGGCCTTCTACTTTTGTTTTACAAACTTAATCTACTAATCCAATCTCTATAGAGAAAGTAACAGATATAACATAATCAGATAAAAGGTTAGCCACACATTTAAGCCTAGTCAAAGGTGGCAAGAATTTTATCTACGGGACAGCTTCTACAGTAACAAATGTATTAATTTCCTCGCCCCGCTTTCACTTGTGCTGGGAAAGAATGCAAAGTTGTACTTCTTGTTCAAACAGTAACAATCTGTTTCCAGAGAAGGTCTCTGATTTTTAAAAGCGCACTCGACTTCAAACATTACCACCTTTTTGGAGCAAACGCCAAAAACTGTCCACTGCTTGCCCTACTTAAATCTGCATCCGCACCTACTTGGCTAAGCACCGAGACGGAGAGATACAAAAGAGGCGGCGAGGGGGCAGCTGATCCCACTCGTAGCCGCAGGACGATTTTACTGCCGCTTCCCAGTGATCTTGGGGTATCTGCAAGGAAGCACTGGGCCAGAACCTAAGATGAGAACGTGAAACTTCCTCCGAGGTGGGAGGATGGGGTGACGGCACATGTTCTCGGGGTGGATGAGGATGTGCCATGCCGGCAGTAACGATCCTAAAGTACCCGGTGGGGCTGGCCGGTTCCCAACTTCGCCCCGCGGGACCCCGGCGAAGAGGGATGGGCAGGTGCGGCGGGCGGCCGCGGAGGGCGGGCAGAGCCTCACCTGCACGCCGGTGTAGTTTTCGAAGAAGAAGAGCACCATGTTCTGATAGATGCAGTAGAGCCGGTCGTCCACCGCCTGGTAGAAGCGGGCGGGCAGGAAGGCGGACAGCAGCCGCCAGGCCCCCCAGACCAGCACGTAGGTGGGTGCCGTGCCCAGCAGCACGGCCGCCGGCAGCACGCAGCGCATCGAGTACATGTGGAGCACCAGGGACAGCAGCATCTTCCCGGCCCCGCGCGTGGAACGCTGCACTGGCAATCCTACCAGCAATGGATGAAGGTTCCTTTTTCTCCACATTTGTTATTACTTGTCCTGTTGATTATAGCTATTCTAACAGGTGTGAGATGTTATATCATTGAGATTTTGATTTGCATTTCCCTAATAGCTAGCGATGCTGAGCACATTTTCAATTATTTGTTGGCCATTTCTATGTCCTCTAGAGAGAAGTGTCTGTTCAGGTTCTCTGCTCATTTTTTGGGGCGAAGGGGACGCCGCGGCCCTTCGCGGCTCGGCAGCTCAGGAGCGCTCACACCCCATGACCCTCGCCCATCACCCTGTGCCCCTGCCGGGGGCGGGGCTCCGCGTCCACAACAAGTCTCCTGATTGGCCGCCCGTTACCATAGTTTCCCCCGTCGGGGGCGGGGCTCCTTGGCAATAACACGTCTTCTGATTGGCTGAGGACGGCAGACGGTTGACGCGCAACTGCAGTCGGGACGCGCCGCCCGCCGGCTCTGGCCTCTGCGCATGCTCCAAAGCCAGACCTCGCTGCGGATGCGGGAAGGGAAGTGGGGACTGGCAAGCCGATTAGGGTGAAGGTGGGCGCGGGCAGGCGGAGGGTCCCCTTGTCGGACTCTGGGCACGGGGTGGCCTGAGGGAACGACCCACCTCCAGCTGGCGCGCCCTGTGGGCCCCTAACCCGGGGATGCGCTCTTAAGCCGAGATGTCCCGGTGGAATGCATAGGTCATGCGCTGTGCCTCAGGTGATCTGCAGACGTACCATCCTCAGTTGAGGACTTATGCCTGCGACAGGTATTTGTCTAGCTTACTGTGAAAAGGCCAACAAGATATGCTGGGAGCTCTAGGGTGAGATAAGCCCCATCAAAGCTCTGGCCCGAGGCATCTGCCCAAGCCAAGCCTAGCGAAGTGATTACCTTCCTTTTCAAGGTCGCTCCCACCCCTCCGCCGTCCTGCTTTTCTCCAGTCCCCTGGGTAGATGCACACGACCCCTTTCCTTCCCTTGCCACCAGGGTGGCCCAGAATTAGGTCCCTTCTTTCTTCCATCACAATAATGACAATAACAAATTTAGGCATAGCTGGACAGCCTTTTTACAAGGTTCTTTGCACACCTTTTTATCACACCTTTTCAAATTCACTCTTGCTTTGCTTCCCAGGGCCTGGCTCTTTGACTTGTGTCTGATTTTGTATAAGGAGCCTCATTTTTGTGTAGTACTTAAAGTAAGTGCTTTGTACACGTAGAATACCTAAGGTACTGACATTCTTCTGTGACCACAAAAATCTAGGAAGGCAAGGCCTTTTAATTGCTGTAAAAACAGATCCAAGGGCTTTCTGGATCCTTCTGCCCTTTGACTACAGTAAACGTGATTTAATGTGTAATCCTTTCCAGAGATAGTTGTACTTCAAAAGAATGCCAGTTTTCCTCAATGGAAGTCTGTGAGATAGCTTTATACAGGAAGGCATTTTACTGCAAAATTCTAATCAGGGTCAGGCGGTTAGACTATTCTTTGACTATACATGAGTATACCAGGATTGAGAGATGGTGACCTTGGAGGACAAGGCCAGGTGAATAGAGATCTCTCAAGGAACAAGTATTTGCACAAGGATGTTGCTGACAGCACTGCAGAGTAGAAAGATTTTCAACAGGATTTTCCATCTTTCCATGGAAAGTAATGCCATGTGTTGTCAGAAGAATTAGATTCTATTTCGTAGGGAAGAAGTCACACACGTGGATAATGTTCACAACCAGTGCTGCTCAGACACCCCTACAGTTAGAAAGCTGTATGAGGGAGAAAGGGGGTTCAGTGTTCACATTACACTCTGTACCGACGAAGTCAGTGCACGTGTGTGATACACGCCAATATATTACATACTGCGGATCACCCCCATATTACTCTTAGTGACCAAGTCGTTGAGTTTCGTGAATGGCGCAGCACGGAGACACGGAGAGCTTCGTCTGTCTCATCCCCCGTGTACATTAGACCCTGTCGCTAGGTCGTTCCCTGAGCCCTTCGCTTTCCCCTCTTCTTCCTCAGTCATGGATTCACCCTCCTTTCTAAAGAGTCCCTCTTAAGCCACAATCAGCCCACACCCTCTACCTCCTTACCTGGTACATTTTTTAACCCCTTGCATGCTGACTTTTCCACCATTCTACCAAAATGATTCTTTTTAAAAAAGAGCACAGCCGACCTAGCCTGCATTGACTGGCACTGGGAAATAACAGTGAGAAGACTGACTGTGTGCTTTCCTGATGCTTGCATTTAGCAAGGCGTTACATGTGGGATGAGTTACATGCGGGAAGTTCGCGGTACTATGGGAACATGTATTGAGATCTCATTGAGTCTGGGGAGAAAGACAGCTCATCAGGTAGAGTGGTACCTGCTATGAAGCTTGCGGGTGGAGTTAGCCCGGCAAGGGCTAGAGGCGAGAAGGAAACAGAGGGCCTCCCAGGTGAGGATGGCGTGCCTGGAGGTCGGAAGCCAGCGCGCAGTGCGCTCCTGGCATAGAAAAGACCCGTGTGGAGCACCGTGACAGGCCACACTTTTTAATTTTTTTAATTTACATGTCCCCTGAGAGAGTGCTATGTATTTCCCTCACGCCGTTTTAATTTACTATCTAAAATTATTTTTATCATAACTTTAGTTACAAAACAAGTTCTGATGAGTTTAAAGTAAAGTGGTTATAGAAATCTTTTACATGGACCCCATGGGTTATAAATACCATAGTGATTTAATAACCCACCATCGTCCATTTAAAAAATACTTAAGATTTTTACCAATTAGAATTTTATATTCATCCTTTCTTTTTTTCCTTGAACACATTTTCATTCCACTTAGATCACAAAATTTATCTTAATGGGATATCTTTTTTGCTTCAAAGTCTTTTATTAATCAGATTATTTCATCAAGGTTCTAAGAGTTAAAATTTCTTCTGGTTGAGCTGTTATTATTGTTAGCAATATATAATTTAATCAACATGTCACAAAGTCTAATATGTAATTACTGTAAATAAAAGTAGTTTTATTTGAGATGCCTGTCCTAGTCGTGCCTTAATTAAAAGAAATCATCCAGTTACCTTTCGGTGCCTCAGAGTCATTCCACCTTCCCACAGTGCAGGACAGCACTACGATTTGGGGCGGGCCAGGTGGCCGGGGCCCCTGTGAAATGCAAGGTGGCCTGGGCTCCCCGGAGTCTTCATAGGCGGGTCGGTTTTAATTAAGCACCTGAGAATCAGGTCCCTAAAAACCCCTCGTGACCACATCTTTATTTTCGGGGATACCCATGGTCCAGTATGAAGGTTATGGTGAGAAAGACAAGGGGAGGGCATGGGGTTGAGATGGGGTTGAGGCGGGAAAGGAAACTTGACAGTGGCATCTAATGGGACATGCAAGTGACTCTAGTCTTTATCCCAATGGTCCTGGGAAGCTATGAGGAGGTTTTAAGGAAGGAAGTGGCATGGTTACCTTTGATTTTTTTAAAGCATGGTTCTAGGCAGTGTGAGGGCAGATTGGAAGCAGCTTGGAGACCGTTGGCAGACTCCGGCTGGGCGTGATGGTGGCTTGGACTTTGATAGTGACCATGTATGGACAGCAAGAAGTGAATTCCTCGTGCACAGACTTTTTGGAGGAAAATTTGATAGTCTCGACTAAAAATGAGCAGATATCCTCTAGATCGATAAATTTACTTAAATGTGTTGTCATAAATCTCTAAGACGTTAGGTGAAAAAAACACCTTGCTAAATAATGCATTATTACCCCATTTCTGTAAAAACAAGTCAGCGTATTTCTATACACAAATGCCTAGAAGCTACTGATGGCAGTGATTATCTGGGTAAGATCAGGTGAAGGTTGCCTGGCCTTTCTGTATTGTTTCAAGTCTTAACAAAGAAATACTGATTCAAGAAACACTAGTCAGTACCTGCTGTGTATCCCACCCACACAGAGCTGGCTCTCAGAGGTAAAGGTGGAGAACAAAGTTCTCCACCTGAGGTCATGACTGCCGATTGGGGTGGGGCGTGGGATTTGACAGATTACACAGGCAGTTTACGATGAATTATGAAGAAAACGAGATGACCTTTTGCAAGAGTTAGCTAAAAGGTGAGGTCTACAGGAGTAAATTGGCGGTGACAGGTGATAAAGGAGGAGAGGGAGGAATGAAGAATGTTTTGCAAGTTTCAGGCTTGAGTAACCAGGTAGAGTCTGGGTTCATCTGCTGACGCAGTGGAAACAGGTTCTACGGGGCACGGAACTTAGTGGGCGGAGCAGGGAGCCCCTTAAGAAAACGCAACGTTTACAAAGGCGAGATTAGATTTGAATGTGGGTTTATAGAATGAGAAAAATCTCAAAATATAAGACTTTAAAAGCTGACGTATCCAGGAAAAAAATAACATTTCGTTATGTAACTATCATGTATCTGTAAGAGAGTATACCTCTCCTTTGCTTCTGAAAACCATTTAATATTTTCTGTATGTAGAACGAAAAGTAATTCTCTTCCCTCTGGCATGATAACTGGAAATCTAGTTTTTATCATTCATTGTTGGATGTATAAAATACTCAAACCTCATGTTATGACTCTAATACATATTCAGTAAAAATCTAGCTTTTTTTTGTTGAGGGGGTAGGTGTAAAGGATAACAGAATATAGTGGGATCTCAACAAATGCATTCTGAAGTTTATGTAGGAAAACAAACAGTTTTTGAAAGGAGGAACACTGAGTGTGGCAGAGAGAATGGTGGGCACCACCCCCCCAAGATGTCTGCATGATTTCCGGAACCTTTGAATATGTTAATTTACATGGTAATGGAGAGTTTAGGACACAGATGAAATTAAGATTGCCAAGCAGATGACCTTGAGATAATGCTGGGTTACCCAGGTGGGCCCGGTGTAATCACGGGGGCCTTAAAAATGGAAGGAGGAGGCAGAAAAGGAGCTCGGAGTGCCCAGGGTGAGGAGGGATCTACTGTCTGCCGGCTTCGGAGGGGGAGGAAGGGGCCCGCAGCCACGGGAGGAGGGCCGGCTCCAGAAGC